CCTGGGTGGAGAGAGACAACCGTAGATAAAGTGCCTTGCCCAAGGACACAAGCGACTTGCACAGCGAGAGTTTTGAACCCCCGACCTCGAGGTTGGGAGTCCAAACCACAACCAATGCGCCAACCACTTCTACTAAAATAATAAATAATTATCGATTTTTTTATTCATATTCATATTATTATTATTATTATCATTATTATATATTAGTCTTAGTATTATTATTTCAATAATAGTAATTTAAAAATTATTGTTATTGGTGTTTTATTGGTATTTTTCTCATATTATTGTTGTTATTATTATTATTATTATTATTGTTGTTGTTGTTGTTGTCACCTTTATTATCGATATTATTACCCTATTATTACTAAGTAGGCCTAGTATTATAAGTATCATCATTATTATTACTAATTAGTATTATTATTATTATTATTATTATTATTATTATTATATAAAAAACATTATCTTTAATTTATTATTGTTGTTATTATTGCTATTATCACATTCAATATCGTTAATATCACTAATAAGTATTATTAAAATAGATATTTAATTATCGTTATTATTACCAATTAGTATTATTCAATCATTCATTGATTTATTCAAAATAACTTCCAAGGAGAAGCAAAGAAAAATACTATTAATATTGTTAAAATAAATATTACTATTAATATTGCTGTTATCACCTTTATTATCGTTATTATGACTAATAATTATTCAAGTAAATATTATTAATTTATGTGGTTATTGTTGTTTAACATTATTGTTGAAGTAGAATGTTGTGAGTAAACAGAAGACGAACACACGACGTCAGTAAGATTTTCTTGTAATAATAATTATAATTAGGCCTACTTCCGTAAAGTTATCTAAAAGGAGATAGGCCTATTATGGGCAATGCCTAAGCTCCAATAACCATGTTGCAACATTAATGTCTATGATACGTGGATGACAATAAGTAAAATTAAAATGTACAAAGGGGTGGGTGGCAAAAGTCGGGAGAAATCGTTCTGTCGAAAATGACACTGGGACAAAAAGTCCGGGAGAAACCAGCCTGCTACCGATGATGACATAGGCCTAATTAATGTCGAATTGTAGCCTATTTTAATACTTGGAGTATGTATACTGTTCTGAGATTAATCAGTGGACCTTTCGGTTTTTATAAATATTCAGTGGCAATTTTTATTTCTATAGCCCTGCTGTATTCATTGTTACGAATAAGAATATTCTTATTACTACAGTTTTTGTCGTGGGTTTTTCCTTAAATTTCATTGAAATTTTTCATCTATTTTGTTTTTCAAAAATTATTGTTTCGATGTTAGTACTGTCATTTTGGATATCTAAATTATTTTGCAAATATCGTTACCGATTTATCATTTTTGAAACTAAAAACAAAATTCAATTACCTCATTGCTATTCACTGGATTATTCCCAGGCCCGTAGCCATGGGAGTTCGAGGGGTTCAAACGAACACCCTTTCTTAAGAATTGCCCTTTTAAGTGTATGTAAAATTTCTAGAGTGACATTTCTAGGCATCTAAGGATCGAGGTCATGAAAATTAGTACTGTACTTTGTAACAAAAATTATGTCATTGAAGTCCCAAAGGCAGCTGGTCTAATTATTGATACTAGATGCTTCCCACCTAATTTTAACGTAGGCCTAATTCTTGGGCGTGGTTCAAAAGAAAATAGTATCGAAATGCACACCATCGTGCATTTATTTGATTTTAGTCGGATTCAAAATAAATTTTTAATATTTAAAAAATCATAAGGTGGTTTATCTATTTCAATTTTTTATGATTAGGTCTATTAGTATGTACTCATGTTTTATGTCAATGTTTTAACGTGAAAAAAATTAAACATTAATAATGTGTTTTTCTTAATTATTAAGATTGCTTAAATTGTTAATGTTACATTATTGTCAGTTAAATTGTTAATGTTACAATTGTCAGATTTTATTCCATTCTGTAAGTGGCGGGTTTTCTCTGTTGAATAAGAGTAGTGTGAAGAAATGGATACAACGATCTCACGACGATGATCAGAATTTTACTAAAATATACTGTGTACTTCATTTCAATCATATTGAATGCAAAAACTGAGTAATATTTACATTTCATTTTAATTATTTTATTCTATAGGCCTATATTACATGTTATTTATTATAAATAAGTTGTGGCCGAGTTGACTTGTGGCCGAGTTGACTTGTGGCCGAGTTAACTTGTGGCCGAGTTAACTTGTGGCCGAGTTGACTTGTGGCCGAGTTGACTGTAGCCAAACTTTTTGTGGCCTAGTTGATTTGTGGCCGAGTTGACTTGTGGCCGAGTTAACTTGTGGCCGTATTAACTTGTGGCCGAGTTGACTTGTGGCCGAGTTGACTGTGGCCGAGTTGACTTGTGGCCGAGTTGACCTGCTTCCTTTGCATGACCTTCAATTGGTCAGTTGGACATTTCCTCCACCCATGTTTTTTTCTATTGGTATACCAATATGATTCTAAATTTGGCTTAATATCTTAAAAACAACAATTTGTGAGAGGTATATATATATATCGGCATAGTTCATGATGTTCTGCCTTCACAAAAATGTAAAAAAAACATACACACATACACACTAACTAAAAACAGTACATACTCAGAAAACATTATATATATATGTATATGTATGTATATATATATATATATACATATATATATAC